CATTTCTTAATTATTGACATTTTTTTAACGATATAAACTCATTTCGATGTTACACTCATCAAGAGCTTTCATTTGAATACCCATATGCATTTTTGATATATTTTTCATATATACATATATATAAAATATATAAATATATAAAATATATGAAAAATTGATGTGGGTACTCAAATGAAAGGTCTCGATGAGTCTAACATCAAGATGAGTTTATATCTTTAAAAATGTCAATAGTTAACAAGATACAAGGTCATTTCTTAATCTGGAGACAAAATTTTTCTTATTCTCTTTATAATATAGATAATAATAAAAATAATGTTTAATAATAATTTTTCTAGTCAAATACATTTCTTACCTGCGATGATACACCAGCGTACGAACAATTTTACAATTTGTACGAAAGAGTTTTAGCGACAACCAGTAAAGCATATACAATGCTTATTTGCACTTTTAAATTCCGTCAATTAAGATTGTCAAATTTCAGTAAGTAATTGAATAATAAATTTATTCAATTAAAAAAAAAATAATAATTGATTTTATTATTACTTAGATTTATTCGAAAGAGAACAACATATTACTTTGGAAAATTTTAAAAGTTCACTTAAAGAAATTACTAAGTCAGCTAAATACTATTTAGGAACAATTGACAATCCTATTTACAAGTCATACAAAAATTGCGATCCTGAAAGCTGGAAAGAAGGTACAATAATTTAGAAAAAAAAAAACTTAATTTAAGGTCAAATATATAAACAGCCAACGAAAATTAGGGCCTTAATTTTTCTAATAGTAATTTTAAAAAGATAAAATATTTTTCCGTAGGTGAACATTACATTCGAGTAAAAAATTATGTAGCTTATTACGATCCATCAATTACATGGGATGTAAATAGAGGTATGGTAAATATGACCAACGTTGACCCGGAATATGAATGCAATCCTGTTCGCGCTTATTGGGACACTAAAAATCCTAAAGGAGTTGTTTACAGTATGGCGTGTCCTTACGTGAGTATTAAAATAACAAGAAAAATAATAATGACACTGAAGTTAACTGATATAAAAAGTTTTTTTTTTATAATTTTATAGCAATTAAATTATTATGAAAAAAATTTTTTTATTGTAATTTATTTTTTATAAAAATTAAAAAATTCTCAGCTAACTTCAGTATGATAAATAATAAATTTATTGATATTAACTTACCTTTAATAAACAGACTTTTGAATACAATTATTCGAAAGAGAAATTCTGTCCCAAAGTCAACAGAGACTATGTTTTACCAGTACACAATAAAATGTCTTCATCGTGTATTGAAAACAAAGACAACAAGCTTCAAAAGTTGTGCGCATGCGGACTATCTTCAGACATTTGGGACAGTGTTAATACACTGAGTTTGAGGCAATTTTTGGTAGACACCACGAAAGATCAGTAAGTTTACAAAAATTTATTTATTTTATTTAAATTAATGGTTAGTTGAAGGTTAGTATTGAAATAACTCGAAAACATGGACCCTGATTTCTTATTGGTTCAGAATTAGAGCGCGCGCGTAAGCACGCAATTTGAATTTGAATTAGTAATTATGAAATTAAGGAGGTCCACTTTATCTACCAAAAAATTAATATTTAGACACACTTAAATAAATATACCTTGCATTGTTTTATTATAGATTTTTTAAGGAAATCCTTTCGCTCCAGTTGAGTCGAAACAATTGTAGTAGTCAATATACGATAAATTAAAATAAAAAATCCATAAAAATTCCTAAAATTAAATAATAAATAGTATATGAGGCATTACTCGTTGAAATTTTGAAAATAAAAAAAAAATTAGTTAAATACAAAAATTAATTTGATTCTTTCAAATCAGCTGCTAGTAACCTGTCCGTGATTTGGCAACGCTGTCCTTCGGTTGTTTACATTTTCATTTGCACAATATAACCTTAACCATGTTTAAGTTTTTGCAGTCAGTGTAAATAAATGAATTAGTTTTAATTTATTGAATGGTCTGAAGCTCGCGCGCTACGCAATGTTGCCAAATGTTTTGATTCCATTTTAATGTAGGTTACTTGAGAATTTTTTGTGATTTTTAATTATTAATTTCTCAATAAATATCTCGGTAACTGATCTATTTTATTGCAAAAAAAGAAACCTGAATATTTTGAAAATCTAATTTTTAGTTTTTTTTTTTTTACTTCATCTAATCCATGGGTGATAGTATAATTCGAGAAATACTGCAAATGTTTGACTTTCTCGTAAGACTCTGAACAAATACTAATATTTAAAAATTTTATTTTTTCAAAAATTTGTCCGGTATTAAAGTATAATTTAAACCTCACTATTAGATAAATAAGGACTTCAACTATTAGAAAAAAATTTAATTTACTCATAATCTAATATTTTTTATTTTACATTGGCGGCGAAAGGACCTCCTTAAACGTGGTTAAGGTTATATTGTGCAAATGAAAATGTAAACAATCGAAGTACAGCGTTGCCAAATCACGGGCAGGTTACTAGCAGTTGATTTGAAAGAGTCAAATTAATTTTTGTATTTAACTATTTTTATTTTTTTATTTTCAAAATTTCAACGATTAATGCCTCATATACTATTTATTATTTAATTTTAGGAATTTTTATGGGTTTCTTTTTTTAATTTATCGTATATTGACTACTACAATTGTTTTGACTCAACTGGAGCGAAAGGATTTCCTTAAGTTAGCTGACTTATGAGCACTTATGAGGACAATTTGTGTTATTTTGAGCTCTCCGAGCTCAAAGAGGGGGTCAATTGAACCAAAAAAAGTTTAGCAATTTTTTATTCGAATTAAAACTAAATATTAATTTTTTTTGGAATGGTTAAGTCTACTATCATTATCAATAAATTAGTCAATAAACAATGTGAATTTTTAAAAATTATTAATATCCAAACGCGTCTACTGGTTCAATTGACCCCCGCTCGGGGGCAATTGAACCACTGCTTGGGATCAATTGAATCAATAATATTTAAAACTCAAACCCTAACTTTTAATAAATAATATATTAATTGTTACTTGCTAATATAACTATTGCACATTTTTAATGCACAGATATTATATTAAATAAATTAAAAATCAATTTAAAAATAATTTTCATTATAAATTCAGTTCATCAAATTGTTAGGTTATTTCCCTGAGTATTTTTTACGTAGAGTCAAGATGCGCGCGCATGTCCCATGCTTCTTCGTATGGTTCAATCGTCCTTGGGACTGCTGGTTCAATTGACCCCATATAATTTTATAACAATTAATAGTAAATAATAAATAAATAAACTATTATATCACTATAAACAAAGTTGAGGATTATAAAGTATAAGTATATACAACTACTACAATTCAAACTTTATCAATTAATTCAAAAATTGAAATATTATCAAACAATTTGTCAGCAGCCGAAAAAAAAGTTTACATGCCTAAAAATAAATAAAATCTCTATTTTTCAAAATTTATTAATCGCAATTATTTCAAATTTTTATCATATCCGAGTTTAACATATTAGAATCTAATTCTAAAAGCATGAAGCATTTTTTCAATTTTTTCGATTTTTTAAGTCGAGTGGTTCAATTGACCCCTTTCTCCCCTAATGTTTTTACTAATCAATTTTTTTTTTTTTTAAAAGATAATTTAATTATAAATAATTAAATAGATTATCCAGATACACTAATTATTGGCTGGTTAAAAAACTGATTGATCTAATTATTGACATACCTTAGCCCCAATTATTGACACCTATACTGCTTATGCCTAGAATCATCTGCTTATTCTTATTTATCGAAACTTATTATTAAGTAATCAATTTTATTAAAGTTTATTAATAATAATTTCCATAAATGATTAATTACTTTTAAAAATATAAAAATTAATTTAAAAATAATTTATTGAATCAGAAGAGTTCAAACTCTTGCAGTAAATTTTTTAGGTTAAAGTAAAAAAAAGGCGTCTTAGCGCTGTCGAATGGCTGTCAATATGAGATTCAACTTAAAAAGTATCAACTAGTTATTGACACCCACTATTTAAATATAATAAAGGAAACAATTAATTTCGATTATTCAATTTTATAAATTTTTCATATATTGTTAATTAAAAAAAAAAAAAGATCATATTATTAGTTGAAGAAATTAATTTAAACAGCATTTAAAAAAAATGCTTTTCTAATCAAAGTTGTTAAGAAAATAAACGTTGGTGGTTTGATCTGGTGCTTTTATTTTTTAATAATTAATATTTAATATTTTGAACTGAGTAATTTTTTTCAATTTTTTAATTAATTAGAAATAAAAATTTATATGATAATTATATTATTGTTATTACAGATAATTAAATATATTTAAAAATAATTTAGGAAGTCAATATTTAGACCTCTGTCAATAATTATAAAAAATTAATAAGAATTTTTTTTTTTAAATAGAGTAATCGTCGGAGTTAGGTTTGTTGTTAAAAACGGAATTATAACCTTAGAAATAAGACAAGGAACAATGGTTAATGGCGCTGTTGATCAACGAACAGTATTTTGGAACACTAGTTTCGGTTTCGCAGATGAACCGCCAGATGTCGTTAGACTTAATTACCATGTGAAGACAATTAACCTTGATACAATTGAGCTTCCCGAAGGACAATTTGTTACTGGAATTAAATTCGAAGTACTAACTGATAATCACATTACACTTGTAATTCGTGGATCGGAAATGTACCGAGATGATAAAGTTTTTACGTCCATTCATGATGAGTGGCACTATCCTCCCGCGGAGAATCCCGAAAATACCAGGTAATATTTTACGAAAAATTACACATTTATTTTATAATTAATGAACCTTTTTTTAGGCACAATTTTAAATTGGAAGACTTTAAAAATCCAGCAGAGTCATCGCTTAAAAACAACGAATTAAGCCGATCAGGACAGAATTACGTTCGACTCACTGGAGGAGTTTACTCTCGGCTCTTCAATAATTTTGCAGTAATTCCTTTTATCGACTCACGGGCTGTTGTCTCGTCTCCTCCGGCACCGCTCGGAGGACTAGGGCTGTTTTACAAAGGACAGCCAGGATACGGTGGATTTATTGCGCTTAAATATATTTTGTCTAAGTACAATCTTAATGTCGACGAAAGAATTCTTTCTATCAATTAATTAATTAATTAATATTAAGTTACTATATTCTTCCATTAATAAACAATTAGTTAAATGATATTTTATTTAATTGTCAATAATTAAATTTAGTTACTTTATTTTCAGGTCTATGAAGCTATGAATTGATGCATTATTTAAGAAAAATAATTTATTTGCTGCTAATTAGTTGCTCTATTAAGAATTTTGTTATTTTAAGGAGATCCACGGTAAAATTTTTAAACCTTCCTGAAAATTTGTAAATTCAATCTACGAAGCCTAATAATTGATAAAAAAATTAAAAAACAGTTTCCGGGATTTGATGAAATTTAATATAAATTTAATATATATAAATATATAAAATATATGAAAAATTGATGTGGGTACTCAAATGAAAGGTCTCGATGAGTGTAACATCGGGATGAGCTTATCCCATAATAAAACTGAGATGAAATGTATGTAGCATCAAACTATTCGTAACGTGATTGGTCCAATATATCATAAGCATGAAAATATATGCAAACTCTATAGTCAAGGCGCGCGCTTGCGCGCGAAAATTAAATTCTAGTATCTAAAAAAATGTGATTAGTTCACAAGATACCAGGTCATTTCTTAATTATTGACATTTTTAAGATATAAACTCATTTCGATGTTACACTCATCGAGACCTTTCATCCAAGTACTCACATGGCTTTTTATATATATATATATATATATATATATGGTATTTATGGAATATATAAATATATAAAATATATGAAAAATTGATGTGGGTACTCAAATGAAAGGTCTCGATGAGTGTAACATCGGGATGAGCTTATATCTTTAAAAATGTCAATATTTGACAAAATAAGGATCTTCTTAATTTTCAGGTCTAATGAAGCTATCCATTCTTTATTAAATCAAAAAAATTTGTTGTTCTATTTTAATTCAAAATTTTATTACTTTAACAGTTCAAATTTTATTTAAAGAAAAGGTCATTATTTTAATTAATAATTAATAACCGTCAAAGCATATCATAAAAAGCATCCGATTATTTTTTTATAGAAGATAATTTACTATCCAATAACCCTAAAGAGCGATTAATTAATAGATAAATAACCCATTAATTAAAATCATTAAAAATATATTTTGGAAATTCCCCAGTGTGATAAATTTAAAAACTTACTGATCAATTAAAAAAAAATTAACTGTGTAATTATAGCGACATTGTTTCATTTATACAAAGTGAAAGTTAGAATTCTGTTGCACCTTTGAGTTTTAATTCACAAAATGAAGAATCTAATAATATTAATGGTGTTAATTGTAAAAGTTGCAATAGTTTATTCTTGTTCGAGTAAATCTGTGCCAACTTGTGAAGAAAAAACGTACAAGAATTACGAAGAAAGAGATACTATTTTAACATATCTTCCTAGTTCATTAAAAATGAATCGCATTGCAATGATGGGAACTTGCCAGTCAATGACATTTTTATGCGGAAATAGTCAAAATAAAACCCAAGAATTGGACATTATGTTTCAAATTAAACACGGAATTCGCGTTATTGAAATAAATGTCGAGCCGCGAAACAATACTTTTGCAATTCATTCTGGATCTTTGTATATTCCGCAATTATTTGATGATTTAGTGGACAAATTGGACGCTTTTTTGAGCCGTTTCTTCAAAGAATTTTTTATTTTGATAATGAACGCCGATGATAACCACGAAAATGACGTAGAAGGTAACAATTGTCGGATAATTGAGTGGTATATCCAAAATAACGTAAATATCGGCTGGAGACTGATAAAAGACTGGAGTTTTGAAGACCCAATTGGTGTTAATCGAGGAAAAATTCTACTGGCTACCTACGGAAAAGCTTTCGAAGGCTGTGCTGTTAATTTGGGAACCGAGTGCATGATTGAGAACTCTAAACCGGCATCTGTGGCGGAAAAGTGGCAAAACATTGTCAATTTTCAAGAAAAATGCTACCTAGAGGACCGCAATTGCTTCATTTATGACTTGAGTGTCCAAACGGACAAAGGAATTCGCGCTGATTCCAAATACGGAGGGTATATGGTTGATGACCACTGTGTAGAGCCGATTAATTACAAAATGGCCGGGTTTTTCTATCCAACCAAAACGGGCATGTTTATTATGATGGCTAACTATCCTGATCAAGAATTGATAGATCGAATTAACAACAGCAACAATAGAACTATGGAATCGCTTTATTATTGGGAATCTGTTAAGAGGAAGTTTTTCTACAAGTATGCTGACAAAAAAAAAAGTAATTTGATAGAGAAAAATTCTTGAGCCAAGAAAAATTCAAAATTGTACACTTGATTCAAGAGCGTTTTTTCTGTATAAGTAGTAAATTTTAAATTGTAATATAATAAAATAATTTTTATCGCATTCAAAAACCAATTTATTCTTTTTGTAATGGGGAAGGGGTCAATTGAACCAAACACTGAGTTTGAGGCAATTTTTGGTAGACACCACGAAAGATCAGTAAGTTTACAAAAATTTATTTATTTTATTTAAATTAATGGTTGATTGAAGGTTAGTATTAAAATAACTCGAAAACATGGACCCTGATTTCTTATTGGTTCAGAATTAGAGCGCGCGCGTAAGCACGCAATTTGAATTTGAATTAGTAATTATGAAATTAAGTTAGCTGACTTATGAGTACTTATGAGGTTTTTGAGCTCTTCGAGCTCAAAAAAACAATTTGTGTTATTTTGAGCTCTCCGAGCTCAAAGAGGGGGTCAATTGAACCAAAAAAAGTTTAGCAATTTATTATTCGAATTAAAATTGAATATTAATTTTTTTTTGGAATGGTTAAGTCTACTATCATTATCAATAAATTAGTCAATAAACAATGTGAATTTTTAAAAATTATTAATATCCAAACGCGTCTACTGGTTCAATTGACCCCCGCTCGGGGGCAATTGAACCACTGCTTGGGGTCAATTGAACCAATAATATTTAAAACTCAAACCCTAACTTTTAATAAATAATATATTAATTGTTACTTGCTAATATAACTATTGCACATTTTTAATGCACAGATATTATATTAAATAAATTAAAAATCAATTTAAAAATAATTTTCATTATAAATTCAGTTCATCAAATTGTTAGGTTATTTCCCTGAGTATTTTTCACGTAGAGTCAAGATGCAAGTGCATGTCCCATGCTTCTTTGTATGGTTCAATCGTCCTTGGGACTGCTGGTTCAATTGACCCCATATAATTTTATAACAATTAATAGTAAATAATAAATAAATAAACTATTATATCACTATAAACAAAGTTGAGGATTATAAAGTATAAGTATATACAACTACTACAATTCAAACTTTATCAATTAATTCAAAAATTGAAATATTATTAAACAATTTGTCAGCAGCCGAAAAAAAAGTTTACATGCCTAAAAATAAATAAAATCTATATTTTTCAAAATTTATTAATCGCAATTATTTCAAATTTTAATCATATCCGAGTTTAACATAGAATCTAATTCTAAGAGCATGAAGCATTTTTTCAATTTTTTCGTTTTTTTATGTCGAGTGGTTCAAGTGACCCTCTTCTCCCCTATAAAAGTTGTAAACAAATTGACAAAAATCTACGGCTACAATTTGAATACAAGTTACCAACAAAATAGATTCAAAACGTCGCAATGATAATGATTGTTTTCTCTTAATTTTTACTTATTATTTTCTTGATTTACGCGATCGATCAACAAGTAAGTCTATTTATTATAATTAATAATTAATTTGATTTGTTATTATTAATTTAATTTAATTTAATTTAATTTAATATATGTGACTTTTACTATGTAAAACTATTGTACTGAGAAGCAATTGTTCGCAAGTCCCTAGTGCAATGTCAAAGTTAGTCAAAGTTGTTTTGTAGTTATCGCACTAGTTTTTTAGTTATTATTGTTATTGTTATTGCTGTAACTTTTCTTCTTACTGACTTATTCCCAAGACTACTATTATTATTGTAGTTTCTATAGCTTTCAAAAGTTATCTATTGTGTACAAAAATCAATTTAATGTTGAAAAAAAAATTTTTTTTTAATTTAAAAAATTAAATTTATTTCTAAAATTTCCATGAAAAAATTTAAATAACTAATTTCAAACTGATAGAAGGATTTTTTTATATTTAATAAGCTTTATTAACTTAATAAATATTTATTGTTAATAAAATATTTATTAGACGATTTATTAAATGTTAATAAATATTTTTTAACAAATATTTATTAAAAGTTAATAAGCAATTTATTAAATATAATTTATCAACTGTTAATAAATATTTATTAATGGTTAATGAATATTTGTTAACTGTTAACAAATATTTATTTAAAATAAAAAGCAAAAATAATTTTCTTTTGACAATTTTTATAACTCTATAGCCGGAATACATGATAATATAATAAGTATTTCGGCTGTATTCGAAAAAGCTCTATCTCTAGATACATTATGACCTGGTATCTTGTCAACTATTAACATTTTTAAAGATATAAGCTCATCTTGATGTTACACTCATCGAGACCTTTCATTTGAGTACCCACATCAATTTTTCATATATTTTATATATTTATATATATTATATATATGTATATATGAAAAATATATCAAAAATGCAAGTGGGTACTTAAATGAAAGTTCTTGATGAGTATAACATCGGGATAAGCTTATATCTTTAAATATCAAAAATGCAAGTGGGTACTTAAATGAAAGCTCTCGAGGAGTGTAACATCAGGATAAGCTTATATCTTTAAAATATATATTATATATATGAATATATGAAAAATATATAAAAAATGCATGTGGGTACTCAAATGAAAGCTCTTGATGAGTGTAACATCAAGATGAGCTTATATCTTTAAAAACTTCAATATTTAAGAAAGTACAGTACAATTTAACAAAAGTCTTGATTTAATAAAGCAAAATATTAATTTTATAGTTCACAAGTCACGGCAGTCACAAATTGTTTTTTTTTTAATAAATTAAAAAATTTTATTATATATTTAAAATTTTCG